TAAAAAGTATTATTCTTGATATCTTTATCATTATGATTATACAACGAATGGTAAATAACATATAAAAATTTTTTATAAACTAAAATAATTCTAATCTCGTAGAAAATATGATACATTTTTTTAGCGATTTTTCATTGATTAACCCCTGAGTTAATCGTACGAGGTTGTGATTACTTCTATTTCTAAGATATCTTCTAGATTTTATTACTCAACTTTTTCAAGTTTAATACTTTATCCGATCTGGGATCGTCGATATTTTTATTCGTTTTTACTCTCTATAATATGTAATATAAGTCTCGCCCCATATTGTGGATGAGTCATGATGTAACGCATTCAGTTGCGAAAAATTATTTCATCATAACTTGTACGGGTGCCATAATAAAAAAAGGATTAAAGTTTCATTATATTAACATCACACTTACAAGTTTAGCCAAAATATTTATTAAAAGTTTAAAATGGATCTTTAGCAGTATAAATAGACCTTATTCGCCTTAATTGATTACATTTTTCTCTTAATTTCACTACCGTTTATTTGAATTTAGTACATAATGTTGAATTGCATACATGTTCGTTTTTAAGTGAATACGTGACTTCAGCGGCATATAAGCCAAGTGTTAAATATATTGCATATAGAAGTTACTAATTAGGCTGTGGCGCTGACTGCCTCACGTTTTTACGATGTCACGGATGTTCCACACGACACTTCAATCAAGTTGGTTTTTTACACGAGACAGAACGTTGAGAAACTTGAAAATATTGAATTATGTCTATGTAGAAATTGTTCTATATGAATGTAAAATATAATTGTAGGATGACAAAATTATAAGTCATGTGGTTATTTACAACAAAATTATCCTTTTTATGACAATAGCATACTCAACACATTGTCGAGCAATTAATTTTTATTCATCTGAAAATAAGTCAAGGTAAATATCGTAGATAACGCATGAAATCGTGAAAATGCTTTTATTCGCTACAAGGCCTATATAATTTCTTGGGGATCGATGGCAAGCTCGCAGCGCGCAAACACGTTCCAAGTAAATTTCAGTAACTTTTACAATCTGCTCTGCTTTATTGGGAGTAAAAAAACGTTGCCATTGCAATAAAACAGCGTCACGGTAAAACTGTTTTACACTAAATAAACCTGTTCAAAGCGTCTAAGAGTCGAAAATGTAAATAAAAATAATTCCTACGTTGACAACTGCAAACACGGGATCAAGTTATCAAACGAAATTCGAACGAAGATATTTTGGATTTAACACGCGGCGTAAATGAGAATTTAAGATAGATCCAAGAAGATATCCCCTATGAATATACTTATGCACGTTCATTGCGGGTTCTAGCTCATTAAGTCACGTGCCTAAAAACTGCATCTCTCTCGTACGGCAACGGACGTCAGGTAGAAAGTTTCGTAAACACATAACAGGTATCTTGTTGCAAAAGAAAAAACAAACAGAGTAAATAGCGCCATTGGATAATAACAGCTTTGATGCGAACAAGTAATGACATCTTTTTTTTGACAACCTGCTTTTGTATACACGAGCTAATTTTGAATCGTGTGACTCATTTATAGTTTTACAGTCACCTGATTAGCTATTCGACGATGCGCATTCATCTTAGAATGTCGTCGCCTTTTTTATTCTTGTATTCAGCTTCGCAATACTGAAACTGCGTCACTTTTGCGTGACAAACGAGAACTCTCGGTAGTCGTATTGTTGAGAGCCTTGAAAAGAATCGCTCCTCGTCATCAAATGTAAATGACCGATTAGCGGACGAAACGCTCATAGACGTAGCTCGATAGTCAATCGATAAGTCATCGATATCGCTATAAATCAATGACCTATTCTTGCGAGATACTCTTACAGTGTACTATAGACAGAACGTGTTTTTATTTTTTTCGACACTGTAAATGACAAAGCTGGTAATCGCTGAGGGTGAAATTTCATTTTGACAAGCGCAACGGGAGTTTTTATCGTTCTCCCGGGGACGACCTCGTGTGTACGTGTTTGTGTGTGCGACGCGATGCATCACCCCGGCACTAGGCGAACGCGCGTCCAGTTTTCGCTTTGAAGTTTATCCCGAGCGACGTTTTGCCTCCTCGCGCGCACATGATACGAACTCTCGAGTAATAGGAGAGCGCGAGGCATCGATCATGCGACTGCTCAACTTGCATCGCCATTACAATTCACGTATATGCATATTTACGCGTGTAGGTGTGTGCGGGCATATAACGTGCAGAAAAGTGGATGAGGTAGCGTATCGCGTAGCACGGGTAAATATAAATCAACGATTAGGTAAATCGATGCATTTATATACGATCGGCATGGCGCGTCGAGTTCAGACTGCACATAACGTGATAGGTATATAATATACACGTACACATAGTGGCATCCGCGCGTGCACGTTAGCAGGCCTGCACTGCACTTACTTATTATAATGTTACGCGGAATTCGTAATCCTGTCGCATGCACACGAGCTGCGGTATTCCGAGAACGTCAGGGTCGTCGTTCGCCCACGCGGCGTTCAAATTTTACATGTTACAATCGTGCGGCTCGGACACTGCATATTACATATTGCACAAATGCATAGCATCGTTGGCAATGCGCGTAGGCCTTGTCGCGAGATTCGATTATCATACATACTTATATGTATTTCGCGCAAGGAGAAATCGATCGGGTATGGGGGATAATAGGCGAGCACGCATCAGCTGCAGCCGGCGCTGGACTGGACTCGCGCAGTATCGGATCGATGCGGATGGATTTAGTCAGCTCTCGCACGTGTGTGTCCCTGCAGAGCAGTAGCCACAGCAGAGCGAGGAGAGAGCGAAAATGCTCGAACGTCATGCTCGTCGCGAGAGTAAATTCCGATATCTCTCATAAATATTTAGGGGACGGAGCAAGCTCGTATAGAGCGCATCGACTATATTACCGCAGCACACGAGACGTGTTCTTGTCAGGGTTGTATACGAGACAACAACATGCAGATGAATACACGAGACGAGAGAGACGATCGGAGCAGCAGCAGCAGCAGCAGCAGCAGCAGCACAGAACGATCCGACTAGGCCTCAGCTCCGTTATTGTACAGTGTACTCTTTGTATCGAGTAATGATACGAGACATATACACAGAGGGTACGTGTAGTAGTAGTAAGCCTTAGAATAATAATGTGTGCGTGGCTTGGCTTTATATGTGTGGCGTGTCAAAGGAAAAATCGTCGTCGTGCTTAATAGGAACAAAGTCGAGTGAGTCATCGAGCAGCAGTAGGCACGGCATACTACAGGGCACACACCGCAGCAGCGACCGTATTATAGAGGGTATATATACGAGGCATTAGGCAGGGCAGTGGTGCGCGGAGGCGGCGAGGCTTGGCCCCAACTAACTACTACGAGGAGGCACTGGCACACAATGTTGTATACACACATCAGCGGGCATACTTATATGAAAAACTGCATGGCACGCGCCTATAGCCGAATATCGATTGACAACTCGCGCAAAAGAGGACTCGGGGGATAGACGGGCGCGCGTGTAATACACGAAAGTAGTGCTTTGCGCCAGTGGTGGTATATGTGCGACGACGACGACGACGACGATGAATGTATACATGCACGTCGCCGTCGCGCACCTGCTTTATAGTATTTGTGCTCGGCGAGACACACGGCACTGCGCGAATATAGTATATAATATAAAGTGTGCCGCGGTCTAGACTCTAGACTAACCTCAAAGGTCGCGCGCGCGAAGCGGCGCACGGCAACTAGCGGGCACCTGTTAATTATTAACGCCTCGAGCCGTGCGCGACGCGAGAATAAGAGAGAGAAAGAGAGAGAGAGAGAGAGAGAGAGAGCGTGTGCACGTCAAAAGTACCGCACCCATATGGGCAGGACGGAGAATGAGAAAGAAAAAAGCCAGGACTAAGACAGAGTCGATACATACAGGTATAAAAAGCCGGCGAATTTCGAAATACTAGACAACTCCAATGTTTACGCGGTGCCGCATGTTTTATACCTATACACGAGACAGAAAGTCGACTGCTGCTGCTACATATACATAAGCGCGAGTGCGAATGTCCTCGCCAAAACGCAACGTCAGCAAACGATTACACGCATGCGAAATGACTCGAGAGTCAAGCAATCGCAGTTCTATTACTGCACTCCGTATACGCGCGATGAAAATCTAACCAGAGCCCGAGGTACACATGTGTCAAGAACGTCCCTATATATACGAATATAGGTATAAAGAGAGAGAGAGAGAGAGAGAGAGAGAGAGAGAGAGAGAAAGAGGGACAAAGTCGGGATAAGTCGTGCAGCTGTCAGCTCGGCAGAGTTCACATAGTCATACCTATCTATGAGTATAATACGTTAAGTACACAGAGTCGGAGTCGCCTGTCGCGGAGTGCGAGACTCCAGTTCCGAGATTTCAGCAGACGATGCGCGCGCGTGGTCGTGCTTTAACAGTACCATATATATATATGTACACAATCATACATGTATGTATATACAGAGTAAGTACGGAGCTCGCGTGTACGTGTGGGCGTAAGCGCGTAAAAGTATTATGTATGCGGGTTGGAAACTCGGACGGTCTCCCGCGCGCGCATCGCGCATATTATAATCCGTACAGCCTGCACACGCACGTACATAAGTACACTGCACATTGGATTACGTCGCGAGCACACAATCGTACTTATCGAGGCAGGCGAGATTTATCGGCGCAGGTGTACACGCACACAGAGACACACATGTATCTCTGTATTCTATATACTCGTATACTCGCACGTATAAGTATTCGTTCGAGATGATAATTCGGAGCAGGTTGGGTAAGCGTCGATGCGGGGCCTTTCGAAAAGGTGCTATATAAAGCATTAATCGCTCGAATGGCATGCGTTAACACATGCAAGAGAGAACTGCCCGAGATGATAATAAGTATGTGTGTACATGTACGAGAGAGAGAGAGAGAGAGATTGCGCACCACCTCTCTCTCTCTCTCACGACTCTGTGTCACTACTCACCAGGTGAAGGACGGTGTTGACGACCTCGCGATTGGACACTTGGCCCACCTCGATGAGGCCGATGAGGACGGCGAACTTGAGGCTGTCGTTCATGGCCATCGCAACCACCTCCTCGGGTCGCTTGATGTCGCTGAACAGCGGCGCCTTGAGGTCCGCCATGGCGAGAACGGCGCAGCTGCAGCAGCCTCTTCAACTGGCTCGACGTCGTCGTCGTAGTCGTAGTCGTTATAGTGCTCGCAGCTTCGCACGAGGGACGAACGAGGAATGTATAGCAGGACACTCGGAGTGTTGCACTCGGCTTATCGTATAGACACCAACAAAAAAAAAAAAAGGAGTCGCGGCGCCGCGTCAAGCAGTCAGCCGCGGCACTATAATCCTCGTGACTGGCAGCTCGCGCATCCCAGCTGCCTATCGCTCGCGCCGCTGCCGACTCTGGCAATTTTTCTGTCTACTGCCACGAGCACTCGTACTTTTTTATTATTATCACTGGCCGACGACAGGTAAGACATTCACAGGCCCTTGCGACGAGCAGCCGATGATGAGCACCAGCGATCGTCGACGAATCACAGGAACCAACGACAACTTCAACTATGCATACAACTCGAATGACAACAACAACAACAACAACAATAACGACGAAGACGATAACACAGAAAGCACAGAGCAAACACGGCTGCAGCGCCGCTGCTGCTTGCTGCTACTGCTGGACGATGCACTTGCGATTATGCTGCGATTTTGCGTGTGTGTGCCGGCGTCGTCGCGCACTGTCTCTCTCGCTCGCTCTTCTCTTATCGCGCGGAATGTACACAAGTGCAGTCGCGCGACTATACAGGGCCGAGCTTTCCCGATGGAAAACAAACGCGCGTCGAAGCACCTGTCCGCGGAGAGTTTCGACGAGGCCAAAAGCCTTCAAAGCACTGATTTTTATAATGAAAATCCGCACACGCACGCACACGCACACACGCACACACACGCACGATTGGAGGACTTTCACACGTCCGATTTGCGTTCACTCTCATACACAATAATAATGTATATAAGAGAATACGTCGTCGTGGCTCGCACTACTACTGCTGCTATGGACTACTGCTGCTTCGGGCTGCTGCTGCTGCTGCTATTGCGATCGCTGGCGACGACAGCGCTGCAAAATTCCTCTGCCATGTTGGAACTGTTGGAAGTCGCGGAGCGCCTGTCTGGCTCTCTTTCCTTCTCACTCGCGCGCGCCTTATGCTGCGAGTTGTTTGCGTCTGTGTGCGGCTGTATAGTACATGTATATTCCGCTTTCGCTGCTGCTGCTGCTGCTGGTTCGCAATGACACTGCCCGCGGCCACCATACCACCAGTCACTATACTATACTACGTCAACACAACTGCTGCCACTGCTCCACTGTTGTTGTTGTAAAAGTACCTGCGCGCCGCAATAATATAAGCGTTCGTACGAGAGCATATTTCGCTGCTCGACGGTCGGCAGTGCTGAAGTCGCCAAATGTCCCTAGTAGATCTCGTTGCACTAGGGCTACACACACAAACACACGGATATCGGATAAAGTCGCTTCTGCTAGTTTACCGTACGGCATAGGATAGTATACCTATAGATGGATGCATAAGGGTTATGCATGGCTCAGTGCTCACGAGGGATTGAACAGAGCAGCCCCTCCTACTACTACCCACTCGGTCGCAAGTATGTGCGCGCGCGCGCCGGGCTTATAGTGTTTGTGTATATGCTGAGTTGAAAATTCGCGACGACTGAATTACACTCAGGAGCCTTTCGAATAGGATTTTCCTGTCCATATCCAGTTACAAAAAGGACAAAGCAATGCAATATTAAACATTTTTCAAAACTTTTTTTTCAAAAAAAAAAAAAAGCTTTATACACGGTATAATGCGATTTCGGAGTTTACGGTGCACTCTGCAAACTTTGAAAATTCGTTTACCAAACTATACCGAAATTCCTGGAAATTTCACATCAAATTGACATAAAATCTACGGAAAATCAGCTTAAAAAATGCTGCGACTCCCCAGATATACAGCACGAATATAAACAAGATCAAGCCGAGATAAAAGGGTAATCGAATGTCAGCGTAATGCGACGTAAAGTCAAAACCCCTATAAATCTAATACAAGCCCCACGTGTATACGGATAGGTGCGGTTGTTTGATTTTTTGTGGGCAAAATACTAATACAGCTATACTGGCACCGTGGCAAGCGGCGCTAATCACTTGCTTACCGACTGCCAGTCCGGCGTTTCGTCCTTATACGATACAGACTAAGATGTAACTTCTCCGAGGCTTTCTTGGGACCACTTGAAAGCTCAAGCGGCACTCGAATTAGTCGTCGAAATAGCTGCAGAAAAGCAAACTGAGCTCGTATGTATATGCTAGACGTTCACATGCACCCGCAACGACGGCAGATCGTTGAAGGTAATATGCGCGAATCAGCGTAGCCCGAGTAATTCAAATGTTTATACAGCGATGCAAGTACGAGACTCGACGCGCTCCTCTAATCTTCCTCTCGGCGTATGTGCCGGGTATGTACCTATAGCCAAGATTTTCATTCCCGCAACTGCTCACAAGAGTGTCATTCTTAAACATTATGAGGCCATTTGGAAATTTTACTTTTGACGCTAATTACGCTTCCACGTCGTCTTCTATACTTGGAAAATGATGAAACGTCGAAAAGTTAATATTTGATTACGAATTCTCCAGATCCAATTAAATAAGTACATGCTAAAAAAAGTACTTTTAAACGATCCCAGCTTTTAGTTGCACGAGCAAAAGAAAGTCACCTCCGCGTACGGCTGATAAATATCGTTATTATCGATTATCCGCGCTGCTGCAACTCATCGACGTGATTAGCTCAAATTGCTCGTCTTAGCAATTGTCGCTAACGATCGAGCGTAGTACAGCTAATTATCTCTGTTTTCTATCCAACTCCTCTATTCCGTTTGCCTCGCTAAGTACTACTACAAGTCGCTTGCCAAGAGATCATCGAACTCTCTCGTCTTATTCTAGAGTCTGAATTAAGCGACTTGTACTTATAATGTTTATACAAATTCGCATGGCAAAACTATCCGATGTCATATTCATTCATACAACATTTACTTGCAGATAAGCAGCGTTATACGTGACAAAAAATAAATATGTAACGGATACGAATGTAATGCTACACTTATGTTTTCCTTGCGGATACACGATACACACCCGGCTGCCTTAAAGGTGTACATCGAGGTTTCAATTTTTAGTCGGCCACGCACTAGGCTCGATTCGGTTTTACCTCGGCTTTTCGGATGCCTACCCGAGATAGACTCCACTTGGAACTGCGCGAAATTCATCGTCGATAATTCATTCGGGACTTTTGATTTCCGTATCGCAACGAGTGCTGCAATCGACTACGGCAATCGTCTGCTGCTGAATGAACTTCCTCATAAACATTGTACTACGTCGGTCGCCGGCTACGAGTCGAAACATCTGTTGCGGAGTTTATTTTTAAAACACCGCGCTGTCACATAATAGCCGTTCTCTTGCAGTCCTCGCAGCTCGCTCTCTGTACACATACTACACACATACACGCACCCAATGGCACACGCACTATACTCCGTAATCCTTCGTTCTGCTTTCTCGAATCCGTGACGTTCGTGCGTGTGCCGAGAACGCGTATTCTCCCCCCATGATACATGCGATATAATACGTGCTCCGTAAAAGCAGCAGTGAACGCACCGCAGCAGAGTCAGTTCTCAAGCAGAGCGGAGTTTATAAGTCATTGCTTATCGAGCACCGAGTACGAACGCATTGAAAATGGCGGCTGTCGATGTCGAGCGCGTAAAGGTAAGCTTTGTTTTTACTTCAAAAACTTGTCGACTCTTTGTCAATTACATCGAGCGTCTGCCTGTTGGCGTCCTCCTATTTGTTTACGCTACTATAACCAACAAAATATGGAGCTATTTGATAGAAGAACGCTTCGATGCATGAGCTTGTGGGCGTTGGTTTTCGCTTCTTTTATTTGGTGCACGATGACAGCATTTCAAGCAATGTCACGTACTACTTCCTTATAAAGAATGCTAACGGCATACACGAGGTATCCTTTATGATTCGATATTTCTCACCACTAGTACTGTCTTGAATTTTTCAGTTGGAAAATACCATCCGTAACTTGAAATTATCTGGACATGTTGGTTTTGACAGTCTTCCGGATCAGTTGGTGAGCAAATCAGTTCAGAATGGATTCATTTTTAACATACTTTGCATTGGTGAGTAAACAAAAATCAATTTGACAACAAATTATTTACTTATATTTTTATTTACTATATAAATGTAAAGTTTCACTATTTTTAGTGCATTGTTTACTTGAAGGAAAGTTATAATTTATATCATTGCTTTTTATAGGTGAAACTGGTCTTGGAAAGTCCACCCTTATGGATTCACTGTTCAATACCAGCTTTGAATCTACGCCGAGCCCACATAATTTACCTGCAGTGAAACTGAAAGCTCATACCTATGAATTGCAAGAAAGTAGTGTTCGTCTAAAATTGACCATCGTTGACACGGTTGGCTATGGTGACCAAGTGAATAAAGAGGACAGTTTTAAATCTGTAGTTGATTATATCGATGCTCAATTTGAAGCTTACTTACAAGAAGAACTGAAAATCAAACGTTCGCTCCATACTTACCATGATACTCGCACTCATGTGTGTTTGTATTTCATTTGCCCGACTGGTCATGGGTAAGGTTTTATTTAAATAAAAATCAACATTGGAAATGAATCAAATCTAACAGGTTCAATAACTTGTTTTAGGTTAAAATCAATAGATCTTGTTTGTATGAAAAAGTTGGATACTAAATGTAATATTATTCCCATTATTGCCAAAGCTGACACCATTTCAAAAACTGAATTGCAAAAGTTCAAGGTAAGTATTCAAGTGTTCTTTTAAGTGAGTTAGATTATTAATGATAATTCATTTCAAATTTTATAGAGTAAAATAATTAGTGAGCTACAAAGTAATGGAGTGAATATATATCAATTCCCAATTGATGATGAAAGTGTTGCTGATGTAAATACACAAATGAATGCTCATGTACCTTTTGCTGTTGTTGGTAGCACAGATTTTGTTAGAGTGGGAAATAAAATGATGCGATCCAGACAATATCCTTGGGGAACTGTACAAGGTAAAAGAAATCTTTATAGATCTTGACAAATACTATCATTTTTTTTAACATAAATTAAATTATTATTATTTTCAGTTGAGAATGAATCACATTGTGATTTTGTTAAGCTTAGAGAAATGCTTATCAGAACAAATATGGAAGATATGCGCGAAAAAACTCATAACCGTCACTATGAGTTGTATCGCAAGAAAAGGCTAGAACAGGTAAATACTTTTCAGTGTTTAATTGTATATTGAGAGCAATTTTAGTTATTGATTTGAATTTTTGTAGATGGGATTCAGCGATGTGGACAGTGACAATAAGCCAGTTAGTTTCCAACAGACATGTGAAGCAAAACGCTCAACTCACTTACAAGAATTACAACAAAAAGAAGATGAAATGCGTCAAATGTTTGTAGTGAGAGTTAAAGACGCAGAATCCGAATTAAAAGAAGCTGAGAAAGAGGTAATGAAAATGAGTTAAAATAATCGTCAATAAACTGGTCTTATTTAAACTAAAAAATAATTCCGATTTTAGCTGCACAATAAATTTGATAAATTGAAAAAAGACCACTCTGAAGAGAAGAAAAAATTGGAAGAAAGTAGAAAAAAATTAGAGGACGATATTCAAGAATTGAATAGAAGGAAAGCGCAGATTGCTATGCAATCTCAATCTCATCATACTCTGACACTTGGGAAGAGCAAGAAAAAATGAACCTTACTTTGTTCTGATTTGCAAACAGGCATTTGATGACTGGTGATAATGCATTGCTATTCCGACAAAAATGTCATCTAAAATTCAATATACATTTGAACTTTTTTTAGCTTTGTATTTTAATAATTCAAAGTTTATAATATTGATTCGAACATATAAAATGTTTTGAATATTATAACCAAAAAAAAAAAATACTTCAACTAATATAATCGAGTATTTAGAAATTGTAGTATAAAATATTTTTAACGATAGATATAATCTATAATACATTTGATAATCTTTATACAAGTCTTAAAATAAAAGAATATTTACATAAAAGTTTTGATCTAAAAAGTCTTCTAAAAAATCACTCATTATTTCTCAATAAAACATTTTATTTTCAACAAAAGGTAACAATATAACTTCAAAATATCTTCGAAATTAATTTTTATGGTACAAATACAATAGCATTTACAGCTGTTAAACTTACTTAAGCAAAAATTGATATAAACTTATGTGAATATACAATAAGCAGGTACAATAATCATAGTAAGAATAACTTTACAATTTAGCAATAAATTAGGATATAATTTTATGGCGAAAAATATTATAAATAATTATGCCTTATGAGCTAGTTTTTTAATAGCAGAGAATTCATTTTTTTTTTATAATTTTAACCGAATGTTGGACGTTGTTTAGCTAACTTCAATATTGCAGTCGACTTTTGCATATCTTACATAAGCGTAATTTTCTAAAGTTAAAGTTAAAAAAATTGGCGAAAAATCATATAAACTTATTCACAGCATTAGAATTAGTAATTTTCTAATTGTAAAATAATTTTTTCGATGGTAAGAATCCTTATTCTTATCATTGCTCTAACTAATTATTATAAATGAATCGAATCAAGTATAATCATGCATTATACTAATTATAATCATATCGGAAATACAAATGTACATGAACGGTTAGATAGTCATATTTCTTGTTAAACCGGGTATAAAAAACATACTTTCAACAAATTGTTGAAAATAGTTTTTTTTTATTTTATCAATGATTAGTTCAGCGCGCCGACAGGACTTGTCGAATGATTCTCTGCTTTGGCATTCCTTTGAATATCGAGCCTCTGCATTTCTGGAACAATCAAAAATTCATAGTATTCCTCAGGTCCAGGCACGAATCTGTCAAATATCCATGAAAAAACTACAATTCATGAATATTGACGCGATTTTTTTTACATAGCGACTTAGTCAAAAGGTATTACAAAAGTACAAAATATATAATTCTATCTGTTCAAGTAATTACAATATCTTCTCGAAATTACTTTCTACTTTGATAATTAGCAAAATACTCGCAAGTGAGAGTTAAATATTAGTTTTGATTATCGGTATCAATCAATGATTAATCAATTATGACATTGAATTACTTTAATCGTTCAAAGTCAGTTTATAGTTCACGTTTTCCTTCTTTATATAGTTCAAAATAGTACTCAGCTATAGTTTTAAAATGTTCAAGCTATGATAACTGCACAATATCATAAAGGCAGTATTGTTTAATTAACGGTAGTTGCATTAACTATTGTTGAAAACTTATTATTTGTAGGAAAATACGCTTGTACTTGGAGCTTTTGTACATTCTATCAATTTTCGCATTCTACATTAATCATTTGTAATCTTAAATCAAGATTTTTCGGAAAAATTGTCTGAATTAATTTTTGGTTTTTATCGCACGTTTTTGTAACTTGTTACCAAGTTGATCGCCAAAAAGGACACGCGCAAGAAAATTAAAGCTCCAAGATAAATTGCTGCGTGATTCGTCGCGAAATCACGATTAAAAAGCGATATTGGCTCGAATGTGCAACCTGGCATATTTTCGCCGCACACCGCTGCATGACTAAGGAAATATTTTGATAAATCAAAACATCGTTTGCTCGAAGCTTCTTTTACGCTCGCACTACTTACTCTCCCATCGTTTGTTACATACAGCATTCACTCCAACACGATAATACATTCAAGTGTGCATAACAACTTTTATCGAGGTATTTCAAATTGTTGCGATAACGCTTACGGTGTTAGAGAACTATAAAATACAATAATAGTGCAAAATACAATAGTGATCTGTATAATTAGCAGTGAAGTGATTGTTTGATCAAAACGTTAGCATACATTTTTGAAAATTCTTGATACCTCGAGCAAGAATATTTCATTACAATTGACACTTTCGAGCGAACATAAATGTGAAGTTTCAAGATTACTACACAAGTGCATCGATTAGGCGAAGCAGCGCAGTTTGCGTAGTAGCTGACGCTCTCCATCCACATTGTTGACTCTGAAAAACTTGCGAAACTCGGTCGTCGTCAGTATGTGCTAATGGATAAACTGGGAAAGTTATCGGGTATAGAACTAATCAACATTGGCGGCGTCGTGGCGTCCGCGAGCACCGAGAAAAAAACACAACAACGCGCCCACGACTACGCAACAATAACAGATAGATTAACAACAACATGGAACGGATGGATGGAGGCGAGAGAGGATGGACTCGGTGCAGCAATAAATGACAATTGATCGATCGCAATTGCCGCTGTGCAATTGCGGGTGCTCGTCTCGCGTGCGTTGGAGGCTGAGAGAGGATAAGAAGGTAGCACAAAAAGGAGCTGGATTAGCGTCTCGAGTAGGAGTTGTTTGCGGGCGTGTTTGGTGCACTGCTGCGGTACTTGGCGCGTATGTGGAGGAAGCTGTTGCTCGCGTGATTGCCCGACTGCGCCCCGGACGGGTGCGGGCTCAGACTGTGGCGATAGTTGTGCGACTGTTGGTGGTGCGTCGTCGGCGTGCTCGCTCGGCTGAGCACTCTCACCTGGCAGGGGTCGTGCCGCGACAAGAAGTGCTCCAGCGTGTCCCAGCCGCCGCCCACGCGTACCATCATGTGTCGGCCTTTCAGCAGCTGCAGCATACGTAAACAAAACAAAACAAAACGCGGATCGGTCGATATCAATAAATTGTCAATTATATCAGGCTATACAGATGGTGTACGAACGGATTATTCTTACCCTTATGAAAACGTTGCGACCGGCGATGTGATAGCGTCCCTCGCCGACCTTCCTCACTTTTAGCTTGCTGCACTTGCCCGTCAGACAATGGCATGACTTCTGTACTTCCTCCGTAGCTCTTCGTACCTGCAAACATGAAAATACGAGTGTGAGTGCGAGCGAGAGAAGCTGATACTCGACATGGCAGGCGAGGCTACTTGATACTCGCGTTACGCGCGCGCAGCTCATTATCAAGTGTGTTTGAACAAGGCGCGGCGCGCACGAGCTTTGTATCATTTATACTTGTACGCGACGAACGAGAATACTGCAGTCATTTCGAGCGCCGCGCAAAGGTAAAGTTCACCGGCCCAAGTCTAACTACCTAACGAGACGCGATGTGAATTTTCGCGCGACGACTTTTTCATAATATCGTGGAAGAAAATTCACTCAAATATTAATACAGACGTCGGATGCCATCGAAAAGCATCCATGGAAAATTCTATAAATATATTATAAGGTACGCGCGACGAAGTGTACCTTGCGCGAACGACGAATCGGCTGTTTAGTATTCTCGGACTTGCGCACTTCTTGAACTAGCGCGCGTCGACTCGAGAAACGTGAAGTGCATCCGACCGATCCGACCGCTATCTGCCGCGACTCCTCGACCGGGCTCCCTCTAGGGCTTCTCAAAAATCCATGCATCGCTTCTTCCTTTGTGCTCCGAATGATCGCGCGGTAGATCGACATTTTTCGGGACGCAAGTGTATAATGAAATGAAATATTTAAGATAACAAAAATGCTCTCTAGATTGTCTGGAACATTTTAATAAGATTGATTGTAAATGCTAAATTTTTAATTATAGAAATTAATGACCTTGTACGTATTTAGCAAAAACAAAACGAGTTTCAAGTCAAGGATTTTCCCGTCCCTCCTATTTGGAGCATGCATAGCTGACGTTTTTCGATATTTATAAATAAATCAGCACTTTCAACAATCGTACGTATCGCTTACTCGAGAATGCTACGGATAACATTTAACTATGAGCTAAAACTAAAAATAAAAAGTATGCGTACCCGTCGGTCGAGTTCTGTGATGGGTCCCATGTGATCGGGCACATCCGAAGCTGACGGCGACGGGGAGCTCGAAGGAGATAGAACCTCATCGGGATCGTCGGCACTGCCCCGAGACCAGTCGTCCTCGGTCGTGTCGCTGGGTACTCCGTCGCTGCCTGCCCGAGGCCCGTTGTCGCTCACGGAGCGACGCAGCTCGGACTCGTGCTCGACCGGTGGTGGCGTCCTCCTCGAGTCGTCCAGCCAACTGTTGTCGACCGTCGACATCTCGACTGCCGAGCTGCAACAAATTCATTTCACAATTTATTATTTATTACTAATGTTTTTGTTGGGCTTTTGAATCTAGTATCATCATTCACTGCAATGGTGTGAGTTTAGAGATATATTTCTGAATTGCCGGAAAACTTATGAAGGAGAAGCGAGTTTAAAAAAACATGATTACGACTATGAGAACATTAGACCATATGAATGATATCTGTCACAATTTATTTACCCGCAAGAATAATAACCCTCAATAATAAGAATCTCAATTTTCACATAAATTCAGGACCTATTCGTCGAAACCACTTTGGATGTGAGAATTGTAAAAAATCATATGATCGCAAAGGTAACCATAAAGCTCAATACAGTTCATAATCGCGGAGCAAATCCTTGACATTTTTCATATATCGTTTGGAATAAAACATTACCATTCATCTACTAAAAAAAAAAAGATTGAAATTGAAGTCAATATTTAATGAATAAAAGGTCATTCAACGACTTCAATAGCATATCATTTGAGACACTTTTTTTAGGAAAAAAAAAACTAATCGACTATAACACGTCTGCTTGGGAAGAAACGAATAAAAGGTATGTGCAGGGATTCATACAACGTCACGCTTTAATGACTGTGACGCAAGCTCGCGAGGATTGCTCAGCGCGTTGCATTCGAATTGTTAAAAAAATCGATAATTTGTCTCCGAAGTAGTCGTTGAAATTCGAGCGTGCTTTTAATTTCTAGCTGCACAAAAGCTCGAAAGTTTTCAAAAGAAAAAGCAACGATCCATATTGCATAATATATGATATAATATTACGTTAGTTTATAGATATAATATGAATTGTAAAGCGCACCTGCTGTGCTTCATTTTATCGGGACACTCGTCGGTCGGCGAGGCTGGTTCCTCAGGGTACTGCCAAGAGACGAGACTGCTGTGGGATATGCCGCTGTCTGAGAGGCAGTGCAATTCAAGCTCCTGTTCGGCCTCGATTTCCGTCTCCAGTTGCACGAGATCCGATGGCTCCAATTGGAAGTTCCTCGACGACAGTCGCACAACTTCCAGCAGACAAAGCACTACGTGCCTCTTGTGATTGTGCAGCACTGCAAAACGCGCAACAACCCATTTTTCAATACTATATGAAACATTTTATAAAGTGTGTCCATTCAATAAAATCTGTCGGTTGCTACTATTTTTTTTCAATTCATAGCAATTTTCCAAGTACTCATAAGAATTCTTCACGCACTTGATTGAGAAAATAAGAGCAAACAAAAAAGATACTCTCGAAAGGTTCTCTTATTTACAGATAATTTTCAAAGGTAATGCAATTAGGCAATCTCGATAACGTCACAGTTCTACAATTATGTTCACACATCCTACTACTATACAGATATGTAAAATCTCGTTCGCGTGGGAGTTGCTCCGAGTTTAATATATAGGTTGCCACGGCTCCAGAGCAGTGCGTCGGCTGTGTATCGATCGAAGCTTTGAATATCGTCGTGTTATCTCGCGTATACGTCATTGTCGTCGCGAACTGGGTTGCAGCGAACAACGCAGCGGCCGTAGGCTGACGAGGGGACACTCGATAGCACACAAAAAACAGCAGCAGCATCGGAATAGCAGAATAGCAGCCAAGTGGTAATAGAGCTATCGACTCTTTGCAATTTGGCGTGTCGGACGAGAAGGAGATGCTGCGCTGTCATTGTTCGACATATTTCACTGGATGTTATTATTCTTCGGTGCTTGTTCTGCAGTGTGAGAGAAAAAAAGAGAGGAGGAGGGAAAGGAGAAATATTGAATCGCTACGGTAACTATATAGTCGGGCGAGTACATTCTGCAACGCGGAGCAGGCTCATTTTGTGCACTAATACGTCGTTATAAAGCACATGCTCGTTTTCGCCTTGCGGGGGGGTATGACCTTTGAAGGGGCAGCGACGCCCCGTGCATCCTGCACCTTCCCTCCCCTTAAAAACGAGCGCGCGTGGGTGCCCGAGCCGTATCTCGCGCAAGTTCACCCTACTTTCTCCGTCGCCCGACTGCCTTGCAAACATAGATTTTCGTCATCGACTTGCGTGCGTGCACAATATCTCGTATGTGCAATTTTGTAACGTTTTCGTTCGTGTTTTTAGCAAAATAAATATTTTACAATAAAGATTGGAGCTTTGAAAAGCAAAGCTCGTTACTTACCCAAATCATTGCTTTCGAACAAGAGATTATTGTGAACGCCGAGCTTTCGGCAAAATTGTATAAAGTTTTCCATGTTGTCCCTGGAGAAAAAACTACCCCGTGCGGCCTGTTCCCAGCAGCGTGCTCTTATCGTCGGTATAGGCTGAAAAGTTATAGCGATTTATAATTAGTCGTAAAAAAGCTTTGATAAGAAAAAGTTGCTCGTTCTTGTGGGAAAACTTTAAAAAACTCTATAACAATCGTTAACGATGATATTTTTGAAAAAATTCTATGAAAAAAAAAAACACGTCTCAAAACTGACCCGTTTTTAACAAGCTCCATTGAAATTACATCGAGTACTTCTCCGTAAAGCTCTTCAGAATTTCGTACAAAAAATTATCGTGGTCATTTAAAAAGAAAAGGCCTTTGAACGCGTTCATATTTACGCTTGTTTTAACAATTTCCAAGAGAGAAGAAGTTGGCGCGGCCAAAAAGGCAGAGAAATGAGCGCTTACCGCTGAAGCTCTGCCAGATTCGACAGCCTCCTGGGCCTTTCCTTGTATGTGGCGTGCCAGGCGGCACAGTAAAGCTCCATTATCGAGAGTCTCGAAAAAGTTATCCACGGTCAATTGGTCGATATCTGAAACAATAGAGAGCCGTGCGAAAGGAATGTAATAAACCATTTTTCATCCTTAAATAGAAATGGGTCAACAATACTCTACTGCCTTCATAGTGTTACATATACATGTAAGTCACGCGCAAACATTGGCATAGAGCCGCGAAAAATATGCTTCAACGCGGATTTAGTCACACGTACAGAGGGCATAGGTGTCAGAGCTATGCGTAAAAAACTCCGAACTCACGTGTATCGGCTATCTCTTGGGGCGGCGGCTAACAAGTTCTTATACAATACATCGGGACCCGCTCTCGAGCCATTAGATTTCCGTTCGCATATATATATGCAGTTTTCGCAGTGGTCGCGATCGCTACAGCTCGTGCTTTTATAAAAGCGTGTTGCGTCGAGCGTTAATGGAAGTGTTATCGGGAGTCGCGGACAGATGACAAGAGCGCAGAGCCGATTGCAGCTGTGCACGCGGCGGCGGGTCCATTTAGCCGCGCGCATGTCGCCAACTGTAAGTATACGAGACGAGAATGCCGCCCGTGCATGTGTATACACCTATGAGGCGCAAACTGGGTCGCTCTATCAAATGCCTCTCGTCGCTACGAGGTACGAGCAGCAGCAGCAACAGCAGGACAAAGGCTGCGCTGTGCGGTGTGCAGCACGTTGTAGAGGCACGAGTCGAGTTTGATATCGTCGCGCGAGTCCGCCCGCGAGGATGACAATGCGTGCGTGTAATGACACATGTGCTCCTATACAGTGTGCAGCACTATACGTTGTATATATTGCGCGCTCTACTTCGCTGTATACAACGTACGTTGGTCTAGGGTACGGCGTTGCAGCGTTGCGCCGTGATTACCTGAGCGTGTAAATCCGAATAGCGCGCCGAGCGCAATTCTTATATCCTATATATATACATATATATGATACCGGAATAACAACAACGCGAGGCGTGCAGGTAGTGCACTCTTTACGCCGATTCGCGGAAACTGCCAAGAAGACGCCAAGCGCCAATGACGCGACTGCAATTAAAGTACTGTTAGCAGCTGCTCTCTCTCGACAGACGTGCTGTTGTTGTTGCTCTAGTCGAAGCGCAGCGACAAGTGCACGCCTCAAATTTGACTGCCGTGCCGCTGTTGTTGTTGTTTTTTATTGTGCTGCTGAATTTGATCCTCACTTGATTTGACTTGGTTTCGCTTGTCTTCGTGAAACATAGCGCTGCTCTTGACTCATTTTTTTTTTCTCTCATTTCTTTTCTTCCTCCGCATTGTAAAACGAAAACTACGATTGCGGTAAATTATATTGTTCGGAGTAAACGCATATTATTACCATCCTTTTCGATGTATTTCATATCATTCAAATTTGCCCCTTCCAATGATTCTTTATAACTGCTCGAGACTTTTTCACTTCTCGAGCCATTTTTCGAGAACCGCTCGCTCGTTTTCGTATACAACGAAAAATGTTTCGTTAAAAGGGAAAAGAAACAACATCATTTACGTTTGCTTTTAACTTCAAAGCGACGCCGCAAAAAAAGCAATGCTTTCACTCCGGCGTGCAGCTTGTCCTCGCAGAAGCTGCATTATTATACTTATAAAAGCGTGGCCAAGCGAAGACGATCATCAACATAATTTTTTCATTTTTCTTTTCTCGATTAATTATGTCGATCCCGTGAATCATCTGCTTAATTTGCTTTTAATTGTTACATAATCTATAATCGTAATGGCTGTAGCTTCGTTGAGTGAAATTTATATAAAATATTAAAAGTAGTAATCATTGTACTAAGTGAAGTTATATTAAAATTTGTAACGCATTTGTATTTTAATCTCTAAGTAAAAGATCTCGTCGAAAATGTTTCAAGCTTCCCAAAAGAGGAACCTCTTTATGAATAAATGGACGAAAAATGATTCAAATTTATATTTTCAAACTTATAGGATATTGTCATTGAAAAGGAAAAAAAATTATGTTTTACATGAAAACGTTCTTTAACATAACAAAAATGCTCCATTAAAATTTTAGAACCAATTGTTATCACAAAATACACAAATGTATGTTCTAAGGACCAAAAATAATCTTTTATATAGTAATTACAGATATACATTGCTACTTGCGAGTTTTACCAAAAATCCTCACTCGCCATCTATCGGAGATTTATCAAACTTTTTTTTAGTATTTCTATGTTCTCTTTGAAACTTCATTTTTTCTTATTCTAAAAAATCGTATTAAATTACACATCTGTAAATATAACCTCGTTTGACATCAGTTAAAGTACATGCGTGTATTTACTTAGCACTAAAAACAAACCCAGAACTGATGGTCGTAACGTACGCGATACAAATAAACTACGCAAAAATGCGCCAAATCCTAAGTCATTAATTTGACTCGCACAATTCACGTTAAAAAAAAGCTCTCTTTCTATCGTCGTCGAGCAAAAATATATAGGTCGAGCGATCTACGTTACGAGCAAAAAAATCTCTCCTCCTACAACGCGGCTTTCATTAATAGTTGTCAAACAAACTTCAAACGGGGCCGTACGTATAAGAGCTCGAGCTTTGAACACGGGGGCTTATCTCGGCGCTGGACTTGTGCAGCATTCAAGGCACTGCTTTTACACACAAACTTGTGTGTATATATTAGCCATGGGATATATTCGCAGAAGCGCGACGACGACGACGAGTGGCTGCTGCAGCGTACTCCAAGTGAAAAATGTTTGCTCGGTTTGAATTGAAGCCCTGATTCTTACTGCCGGCTGGTTGACTGCAAAAAAATGACGACGTCCGAGACATAAAACTTTCAAGAGCGAAACGCCGAGCAATACATACACGAGAGCAGTGAAAGAATTGCTCGGTAATAGGTTCGCCTCCGAAGATGAAATAGAGGCGCGAATCGAAGCTCGTTACACTGCAAATGCATGTGTACGCGCGGTTAAGCAAATGTAAAAACTGTAATATGTTATCTGATCGGTGAAAGCAACTTACAATATGAATCAGTGACACACGCAGAGGCAGATATCGCGGGCATTACATAGAATATAAGCGAAGCCGATGTACAAAAGTCGAGCTGTGTACTGCATTGGCATTGTGTGTGCTTTTGTTAGAGTTGTCGTCGTCGCGTCCAAGTCGCTAGCTCGACTCGGTTGCATAGCGTACGATATATACGTACAATTACAGACGGTAGTGGTAGATGCGCGCGTGGCCTCATTCAAAATCCGATCCTACGAACCGCACGGCAATAGCTCGTGTTTAAGCTCGGCATTATTTTTCTTCAATTCAGCACCAGCTTTTGTCTGAGCTTTTGATCCGACCAGCTGTACCGCTGGCACATTAGTATACTATACGCAGAAAAAAAAATATGAAAATTAGAATACGATCAAAATAATCTCGTCGCTACTCATGGCTTGCGACTTTATTCATCTTCGTATACGCCTGCAAAGTCCACAGCGTGTGCGGCTTCTTGCCTACATATATCCATTATAATATTTATTTGGAAGATAATTTTCGTCTCAGAGCTGCAACTCGCTCACGGGCAGCAGCAGCAGCAGCAACAGCTTGAGCGCGCAAATTTCCCTGCGCACGCGAAATGCTTTTCTCAACTGGATGCGCGCGGTTCGATGCTCGCCGGCAGCGTCCTTCGCGCTAACTCATTATGTGTACACACACATGCTGTATGGTCGAGGAAAATGCCCGGCGCATGCGATACTGTATAATATCGCGAGTACATGAAATTCGCCGAGGTCTCGGGAGGCTGTTTTGCGCACGTTATTATATGTTTGGTTGTGCCTCGCCGAACGGAGCGCGCGCGTGTGTGTGCGTGGTGCGCGTTTCACTTTTCGCGCGAGCCTGAACCTTATAAATAGATATTATACATGTGCATGCGATTTCGCAACTCGATGCCTGTCATATCAGATAATAATGGTAGTAATAATATGCATCAATCTCCAAGAGTCGACATTGACACATTGATGAAGATTGAATTCCGCGCACGGAAACGACGTCCATTGGTACACTAGTCTAATATTATTACTTATTAAAAATTTTTTTAAAGTAAATGATATCTATGAACAAAATAACGATACAGCGGAGAACGATATAAGATCGCGCCAGAAATTGAAAAACGATCGGAGCCTCGGGTTCAACGTACGGCAATAAACGACGAAAGTAATTATCAAATAACATGCGATTCGAGCGTTTCAATTTCAACAGAGAGCGAGTCGAAAAAAATGTATTTCGTACACGCGGAAAAGCTAATAGATAATGTAAGAATGTAATTAAAATTTAATGCATAGTTCGAATGAACAAAAGACATAAGATAATTAAATTTAAAATAAATGACCTAAAAGAAAAGTGCATTATGTGCGGCAAAAGCAAATATTAAACTGCTGCTAAGAGCTCATCCGATCGTTTTAGTGAAAATTGGTATTCATAATGCAGACTCGGCGAGCGAGCTAACATATATCGACAATATTTTTTAGGGCTTCTGCTTTTTGCTGCTTCGCTGAACGTGCATGCAGTGCACGGCCAAAAGTTAAACGTCGTCTGGTTTGCGAGGATATTTCAAGGTTGTACTTTTAGTGTCATACCGGCTTGCATATTAATTTGCAAAAATAGCTGAGGAATATTCAAGGACAAAAGACTCGAGAGTTAGTATTTCTATGATTTATGTTTTACCTTAACGAAAAGTAACCTCAAGAAGAAATTGAAAAAACAGCAATTCTATTTATTAAACTGTCTTAGGGAAAAAATACAAGGCAATGACAAAGTTATTGGTGCATCGATAATTCGAAGGGCTGGTACGTCTCTTTCCGTTTCTCACAATTCCAACTAACGAAAAGGTCAGCAAGTGACTCACCGTGCGAGTATGGCTACTGGCCGAGAAGCTTCTCATACTTCGGTTTGACGCACAGCGCACGAACTAGTGTACATTAGCATAAACGTGATACGAGATGAGAAAAAAGGAGGAATCGGATTACGTCAAACAATAGGAAGCGCTGTGACCCTAGATCGGAGTGTTTATCGATAAAATAA